CCGTACGGCTTCTGATTGGCCGGCTTGCTGCGTTTACACGTCTTGCACGAGTCGCAGTAGGATTGTACGTCGGGAAGCAAAGTCTTCCACCAGACGTGGTCGCGGAGGAGATCGGCCGTCTTCCTAGGTCCTAGATGCGCCAACAGCGAGTGAGCATGAGAGATTACAATTTCCCTAGCGCTACGTCCGTTGACTATGACACGAGGGATGCACAGAAGCTCGCGTCCCCGTTCCCTAAGGAAGACCAGACCGTTAGAAACGTGAAAATTCTTGTACTGATGCGGGTTCTGAATAATTGGCGCAAAAAACGCGTCTTCAGCGTATCTGTTGTGTAACGCGCCCTCCAGGTGAATGCCGTCTTGAGAACCGGCGATGTGGTCCAGGAGCTGAGCTCCCGAACGTTCTACATGCTCGGCGGGCTGAGCCGAAGTACTGCTGTCCTGCAGTGTCGAAGATGGTGGAGTGCCGTCCGCCTGTTCAGCAGGTTTGGGGGCTGCTTCCGTTCTGGAAGTGCTGAGACTAGATTGCTGGGTACTTGCGCCCTCCTGTCGTTCTGCACGAGGAGGGTGGAGAACGACACGCCTAATGCGAGCGGCGAACTCCTTGGAGGTCTCGGGACGCCCGGTCTCAGGCGCTGGCGTTGACAGCTTCTCCCGCCGTTGTTGGCGTGAGCGTTGCTTTTTCGGCAGCGCAGGCGTCTCCTGCTGGTTGCCAGTAGACTGTTCCGACCGTGCGACGCTGTTCCGTCTCGCATTCACCGTCTTGCTTGTCTCCCAGACCGTGTTTCTGACTGTCGACACCGCGTCGGGCGACGAGCGCGAAGCCTGAACGCGATCACGTGGCCATCGAGGCGCTCGGCTTGCACGCGACGCGCCCTCCAGCCTCGACCCAACGCTGCTTGTTACAGTGTGTTCGCCCTTTCTGGTAGCTGCCTGTAGCCGTTCCGAACGTCGAGGAGCAGTTTTGGTTAGCTCCATAGCAGCCCGTCCCTCAAGGTCAACAAGGAGGGGTACGGAGACAGCGTTGGCGGAGAGCGCCCGAGGTGCGTTCGCGGCGTCATCATGTTGGGTGTATTCTGAAGGCGCTCGCACCGTGCCAGGTTGGTCATTAGAGTATATTCTAGATAGGGCGTCTGCTAAGACGTTGTCAACGCCTGGTACGTACTCGATTTTGAAATCGTATTCAGAGATTTTCTCTAGCCATCGGGCTTGCCGCCCGGACAGGTTCCGTTGGTTCAGCAAGTGTACTAGCCCCTTGTGATCGGTTACCCAGGTAAATCGACACCCAAGCAAAATATCTCTGTGTCGCAGCATTGATTCAACCCCGGCGAGCATCTCAATTTCGTGCACGGGATAGTTCTGTTGAGCTGATGACAGCTTAGCAGAGAAGAACGCGGCTACCCGCGCGTTCCGAAAGTCCTCTCCTTGGCATACCACACCTGCAATTCCGCCATGCGAGCCGTCTGTTACCAGCCAAATGGGTGGAGCCCCCGCTGAATAGTCCAACGGCTTGCGGCGGTGTTCTCGGTGCGCGTGAACCAGCCGCTTAATCTCATCGAAAGCTCGCTGGTGAGTGAAGTCCCATTTGAACGAAGCATTTGCGCCAGTCATAGAGGCTAATACTCCCATAGGAAGTCTCACCGTGGCAATATCGTCTGCCAAATACCCTACGGACCCTAGGAATCCGCGTAAGAGCTCCTTCGAGGTAGGTACCTTCCAGTTAAGCACACTGTCCACCTTGTCAGGGTCCATTCTGATTCCTTGGTCGTCCAATATGCGGCCCAGGATCTTCATCTCATTGCACAGAAACTTCAACTTAGTAGCGCTTAGATACAGCTGTTCACGCTTCAGTATGTCTATGACAATTTTGACGTGTCGGACGTGCTCTGACAGTGTATCCGAGTAGATTACAATGTCATCTAGGTAGACATCAAGAAAAACACCAATATAGGGCCCGAAAATGTAATTCATCAGACTTTGGTAAGTTGCTACCGCGTTACAGTCTCCCTGCTGCAATACAAGGCTGACCATGTTCCCATCAGGTGTGGTCATTGCCGTGCGTTCTACGTGCTCGGGCTCGACCCGGATTTGCTCGTACGCGTCCTTACCGTCAATGAGGCTTCGGTACGGGTGCCTGGACACCCGCCGCAGAATGCCTTCCATGTCCGGAAGAGGTGAGGTGAGTTTTTTTGTATTAGCATTACGTTCACGCAGATCGCACACAACACGGAGTTTGGGAGGGACTCCCTTCACACCGGTGCCCGGTTTAGTGAGGAGCAGCATGGGTGATGTATTACGTGCACTAGTGTACTTCCAGCGGCCGGATTTGAGGTAAGCATCGCGTTTCTCCCTCCAATTCTCCCTGTGAGCGTCCGGGCATTTAGATGGGCGCCACGTATAGACTTTGTCCGGGTCTATGAGAGGAATCCGGTGATTTATCACACGCAGAGGGGGCAACGGTGAGTCACTGGCTTCTTTGCATACTGGAGCGGCATACTCACGCAACTCCCGTCTTGCCGCCTCGAGTACGTCGTCCAAAACATCAGCCGAGTGGGACTGCAGCGTTCGCACCTGGCGACCTTCGATTGGTAGTGCCTGTGGGCTGCCCACGACTAAAGTGGCAGGGTTGAGCCCCAGCGTAACTTTGTGCTGGAAAATGAACGGAGTTCCGAGGATGAGGTCGTAATTCAGCAGGTTAATTACGTCGAAATACCTCTCGGACCGGATACGCTGGTATTCGAGACGCGCCCTGCAACCAAAGTTGATCTTTGCGCGAGACCCTTGGACAGCCAACTGTACAGGTAAAGGCTTCGTCAGTTCAAAGACATTGATGCCTAATTGATGAGCCAACCTTGCAGACATGAAATCTGACAGCGACCCGGAGTCGATTAGGGCTCGAGCGGGTTGCTCGTTCACTTGCACGACTACCACGACAGGTTCCGGAATCAGGCGAGAAAAATCTCGAGGGGCGGCTGCATTGCGCTGCAACGCCTCAAGGTTGCCTTCCGATTCCGTACCGTGAGTCCTTGGCCTCACTGCAAACAGCGGGATGGGCGGACTGATGCGAGGGCGTGGTTTGCGCGTGAACAGGACTCGAAACTCGCCTGCCAGGTCATCAAGCTCAAAGGCCGGAGCCGCGAAAAGCCGTCGGACGTGCCGAGCGAAGTAGCCCAGCAGGTCGAACCTAGGGTTCAAGAGGAACTTGACCGGTATT